TCAGGACATAGTACATTTCGTTCGTTCTTCTTTGCTGTAGATGTCAGATCGACCGTTGCTCGATTTTATATTTCCAAAATGAAATAAGATATATAAATTTACAAAACACCTTTACGTAGGCCTTAGTTTGAATAAGGAAATTGTTCTCGTAACGTACTTACTCTCTTTTCGCTATATAATCACATCGGACTCTGTTCTTCGGATGAGTCGATTTGGTAGAAACAAAATTACACAACAAAAGTAAACTGAAACAAGTAAGCTCAGAATTATCTTTCCTTAGATCGAACTACGGGTCTGTGGAGATTGCAAGGAGCAGTTCAACTGATGCTCCAAAGTCTTCCTGTGGCACCCTCTTGAGTCGACTTAATTAGAATAGAATAGAATAGAACAGACATTTATTGCAACGCCACAACACATGGATACAAAAAAAAATTGATATCACTTAGACAAGCAAAACAAAACAAAAAGACGTAATTAACAAAATTAAAATAAAATAAACTAAGACAATAACAAACAAAGAGCAAAACAGAAAAATACTAAATATAACAACAACAAATGTTGTACTGTCATGTGTGCGGTTGTGGCGTACGCAAAAGGACTTCATTCAGCTTATGCCACAGCCGCAATTGACTGTGGCGCTGGTTTTCAATGAGCCCTGAGCTGAGTGACGGACGTGTGTGTCGCAAAATAAAATAAACTGTCTAACGACTAAAAAGTCGTTGAAAGACCAAGTATAAAGACACGACGCAAGCACATAGAAAAATTCGTGAGGTCCGTTGATTCGTTCCGTGGCTTAGTTGGTATAGCGTCTGCCACGGTATGCAAGAAGACGTCGGTTCGAATCCGACCGGATCGAAGGAATTTTTACTGAGTGTTTTTTTCTGATTGTTCGATCTTTGTATTTATAATTATAACAAACTAGTGGAGTAATTTCACAAAAAATAATTGAATTAAAATAAACTGGTTAAATAATTGCGTGATTGTTTCGGATAATGATGGATCATTGAGGTCCAGAAATTCTGAATCAACGTTATTCTTTGTATCGTGTAGATGCTTCGTTTGTTTTATATTGACCTTAAATAGCATGTCGCCACCTTGCTTACGCTAAGCGGAATCACCGACCAACTGTATTTTAGTAAATTAATGACTGAAACGGTTGCAGTTACACTCTATTGTATCACTTCGTTGTAAGATAAAGCTATAAGGCATAATATGTTAAGACAACCACTACGGGAATATATATTTAGATACTAACTTCTAAATAAAAGACTCGAGCGTGTGAAGTGCTAAGATCTCTTTTGAGCTAAAACTGTTTTTGTAGCATTATCGTGTACTAAGTTTATGAAGTGCGAGGTTTAAAGACAAGAGCGTGATAAGAACGATGTGGTGCGAAGAACGATCGTGCTTCGTTGGTCAAAAGAGATTAAATGATAGGAGGTTATCGGCATTTGGATTTTACATAGGATATTGAGGGCTATTTTAGAACAGCGTTCATTTGTTTGATGATACCTGGAAAACGTTGTTCAAAAAGCTATTCCTATAACCGTATATGTACAGTAGGGATGTCTCTAAAATATAAACGTCATGAACATGTTACAGTTTAGAAGTTTTGGCGCCAACGTCATACACAAACAAATATATTTCTAATTTACATTTGTGCGCGTATGTGTGTCTACGAATCTTCGGTAACAGCCATGACAAAAGTTTCAAATTCTTATTAATGGGCATAAGCGTTGGTAACAGTAACTTCCTGTATTCCAGTTTCCTCTTTTCACGTACTATTTATAATAGGAATAAAAAGTTTGGCAGAGTCCTAGCAAAACAGATCCGTGGTATCGGCTACACCACAAAAAAAGAGAGCATTATTGTTATATCTTTCAAAAACTAAATATTTTAAGTAACATTATAAATTTACGAAGTATTGTCAATTGTCTTCAACTTCTTACTACCTACCTACTTCTATATTTCGTATTAACTTTAATGTTATTATGGTTTTACTGAACACCGTTAGAAAAATTATAATAAATCGAGGGAGATTATTTACTTCATTTGTTTTTATTCATTCTAAAGCAAAACAAAACCTTATAACTTAATGTCAATCTAGTATTTTTACAAGAATACTAAACTTTAAATTTAACATAATTTCTTCTTTAAGTAATATTAAATAACGTCTTCCCTTTAAGTAATATTAAAAGATGTTTGTCAATTAAACAATTTATTTATATAAGTTAATTTTATTATTTAGAAGCACGCAATAATAAAATGATTAGTTATTATACATATACAGTTTGGTGAAATTACTGGCACATGAGACTTGTCAACGTATGTCTCAGGGTGACAGGCGCAGTAGCGCCCCACAGATCTTTGCGATTCACCATTCATCTTTGCGATCAGGCGCACGACTTGTTATAAACATAATATATGTCTACAGCTTCAAATAGTCTGCGCAGAACCAGTCTGTGTCAGTAGCTTTAATTTACATACATAATATCCGAAAAAATGTAGAGTAGAGCTCTTTGTAAGAGTTCGTCCAGGTACCTTCTACAACTTTACCTATTTCTGCCGCCAAGCATTAGTGTGAGCATGAGGCTGATAAAACTGCAGGCTCATGAGATAGCTCATTCTGCCCTCCCCTTTTGATATTAAGACATAATAATTGACGGGGTATCATCCTTACTAAATTGAGCGTTTCGTCGTCCTTTACAATATCAGTCAAGAAATGGAATTCTCTGTCTGCATCTATGTTTCCGAGCACATAACTGGAAAGTATTGAAAGTGCGATAAAATAGGTATATTCTGTGCGTGCTCGTTCCATCGGTGGGCCGGAGTCTACGGGGTCTTTAAGCTCAGGCCACACAGAGGCGGTACAGCGGGAAAAGCGGTCCGGAGGCGGCTCTGCGGGAAGCGAATTCTTACCGGGGCGTGCCACACAGCAGTCCCAAGCGTAGTTCGCGGCGAAATAGCGGTCCGAAGGCCGCCAGTGTGACACCAAAAGCGGCCACGTTTCATTTTTAACACAGATTTTAAAGAATAAACCACATCGTTGTCGCATAATGATCAAGACATTTTTCTGCTTTTATTAGCGCAACACAAAAGAATCGGTCGAATTCATATTGGAACTTAATAAATAACACTCAAAAGTTGAAAAAAAAAAATCGTTAAAACCTGCTAAAGTCCCACTAAAGCCCCGCTCTCGGATCGCGCCCACTGCCACCGCTCTGTGTGGACGGTTGCATAGAACTCAATAGAATACAACTCGCACGCCCGCACCCGGCTCGCGTTCGCCCCGGGTCTGCCCCGCAGCCGGTCCTCTTGTTTGTCATAACGTTCGGCCGCACAACTCGCCGCCCTGTCCCACGGCCGCCGCGCGTTTCTATGTGTCAGGGTTCATATGAACTCGTACATTACAAAAATTCCCGCGCCCGGAACGATTCCACGGCTGCCTTTAGGTGGTCAGAACATTAGAGCCCATCTTTGCTTCACGATCAGGTAGTTATCAGAAGTCAGTCCATTTGACATTTTAAAAGTTGCCAGTAACGTATATTCTCCACTCCACATTGATAGAACTCGATTGACCTTCACCTCTAGGTATGAAGTCCTAATCCTATAAAGGTATATAAATAACTTGTCTGATAAATTTGTCTTCTTCTTCGTATCGTGTCGATGCTTCTTATATTTTAGGACTATATTCACTTTTAATAGTAGGTACAGGGTCAAGAGCACGTCAAGCTTGACACTTAAGATTTAAATCTAACTCTATGCCGCTTACGACGAGAACGGTCCAAGGTATAAAGTGTCAAGCTTGACGTGTTTTTGGCTGTACGTTGCTATCTTGATTGTGCTATCTATAGCTGCGTAGAGATCTTATTAGGGCACAAGAGGCAAAACAGTAAGTAGGTAATGCATGGACTGTGTCCCCAACACCATAATCACATGGGTAAGACTGTGACGGTGCTACATCTTTCATGGTCATTCCACCCTTTTCTCGGGTTCCTGGCCACCTACTTTGAAATTTTGAATCGTTCTTTCATTCCTTTTCTTCGTCATTTTTACTTTTCTTCATTCCGTCGCCACTCAATACGAAACTTCCGAAGCGAGCAGACCATTATACCATTGAAAATCATGTAACCTAACTGCTTGTAAAGCATAAATAGTTGAACAAATACAGGCCCTTTTGGGGTAAATTCCTTTTTACCATGTCTAACCTGTATGTAATTTAAGGAGGGAGTGTTTTTTATATGATTGTACCTGTGTTTATACCGTTATTTTATTTTGTTACAGCCTTTACCTTTCTTCGTTTTCCTGCTCTTTACCTATTCCTATTTTACAACAACCTTTCATTTTATTACTCAAAACCTTCGGTCCCAAGACTAACATCCCAGAGCCCCCATTAAAATTATCTCTGGAGCGTCCTAACCTGAATGCGAAGTCAATTTAGGACCTCCACACGGGCCACAGCATAGAGGGGATACAAATAAAAATAGGGATAAATTTGTCTAATGCTAATTACGTCAGGAAAGGCATGATGTAAAATGTTGTACTAGGGGAAGAGGGAGGGAAGGGACGATGAATACAACTTTGCCCACGTAACGAATACGTGCACGTTCTGCCCACTTAAAACCAAATCACAGTCCAAAAATTGCCAAAATTGTCATTCATGAATCACTTTTGACACTCTTTAGTATAAAAGTCCTGTGTTGTTATGAAAATAGATATTTTACGATAGATCATAAAGAGGAGAACACCTTGTATCAAATTTGAGAGTTGTGATATTTTGTAAAGAGATTAGTGCAAACATGCTTGCAGCTTCACCGTTTAATTATTTCGGTAAATAGATTTTGTATTATTATCGTGACGATCGATCGAAACGAGAAAAATCGTCTGTGTGTTGGGGGCCTTTAACAAACAGCCATAATTATTTGAAGTTGTCGTCGTTATGATTGTGATTTAGTACAAATAGTGCAGTGATGGTACAATCAAATTTATTTCTCTCATTACAGAACACAAAACAATGGCGATGGCAACAGCGACGGCCACGATGGAGTCGTCCAAGACCCTGATACAGACAGAGACTAGAGTACAGCGCAGCTACCAAGAAGTGCAGCAGCAGGTGGTAACAGATCAGCGCCAGGTCGTCGAAAAGGTCAAGAAGAAGAAGTCAATGAGACGGCATAATAAGGATGAGGGTACTATTTCCGTGGTAAGTTCTGGAAATTAAAGCGCTATGCAAACGTAGATAAAACTTTTGGCTGCCGATACAGGGCACCATCACAGGAAAGCGTGGTTGCTGCTGGTTGCTACGTCTAGACATTGGTAAGTGTTCGTTGTTTAAATTCCTGAGTGTTCCGTCAGTGTCACGATGGATGTCGATAAAGAAACACTTATTTCACTTGTTGTGGTGGCTCAAGCCGATTCTGCGTTAATAAGTGTGGTGTCACCCTGTCGTCGTCATCATAAACGCCGGAAGACGTCCACTGCTGAACATTGCCCGCCGCCCTTACCAGTTCTACGAGTTATGTGCGTTGCCCACTGCCGCTTCAACTTGCTAATCCTTTGAGCTACGTCGGTGACTTTCGTTCTTCTACAGATCTCCTCATTTCTGATTCGATCACGTAGAGAAATGTCGCTCCATAGCTCGTTGAGTAATTTTGAGTTTTTTTATGAGGCTTTTTTAAGTGACCACGTCTCAGACCCGTTGGTCATCCCTGGCAATACGCACTGCTTGACTTTTGTCCTTAAGGACTGCGGTATTGCGGACGAGAAGACGCCCGGAGCTTCCCGAAAGCTGCCCAACCGAGTCGGACGATTGACCTCTTTCTCGAACTTGGCTCTGCCTAATTGGACCGTTTGTCCGCAAAGTAGTGACGGCAAGGAGGAATGAAATATATTAAGGCGCAGAGAGAAAGGCCTCTCAAGTCGGTATCAAGAGCATTCCAATTTACCATTGGAATAGCATAAAATATACTTTGAAAAATTTAATATCCTCTGCCTTCTCCGTTTACTTGAACTTGACGTTATCTTCAGTGTACAGCTACTAACGCCTTTTTTATTTATTTCCAGTCAAAAAGTTCCGAGAAACTCTTCAAGAAAATGAAAGCAGCGCAAGAGACGGACTCCAACCCTCAATGCGAGAAGTGCCAACGACCTGTCTATGCCATGGAGCGTGTCAAGGCCGAACGCAGGGTCTGGCATAAGGAATGTTTTAGATGCGTTCAGTGCAATAAGCAACTTACGTAAGTCATAATCATATCATTTATTGCTTTATGTGGTACAAAAGGTCTTAAAGCTATTATTATATTCCAACATAAACCCTGTAAGGGCACTGCAATTAACTTACTTCACTATACTAATATTAATACACATAGATTCATGTGAACTTAACTTACTATACACATAATATCATGTACTTTTACTATCGAAATACTCCTTTAAGTCATAGAAACAGTTCGAGTGCAAGTAACTTTTCAGAGCATTTGCGAACACGTAATTATTTTCAATGTTTCTTATTCTAAGAGGTATTTTGTTATAAACTTTTATTGCCACATTGTGTGGGCCCGAGCTAACAATTTCTACATTTGTAAAAGAACCAATCAATTTGTTTCGCGGTCTCAAATTAGCTACATAAGTGCCTGTATTTTCTTAAAAACTTACTATTTCAAATACATATATTGATGTCAAAGTCAAAACGTTCAAACTAGAAAAATGTGGTCTACAAGTATCTGTTTCCGTTATGTTTGCCAATACCCTCATGCATTTCTTCTGCAGAATAAAGAGGCTGCTGGAATGAGCACTATTTTTTTAAAGTAAGCAAATAGTAAAGATTTTAATTATTAATGCAAAGATCAAACACTAAGAATAATTCCTTCCATCCGTCTGGATTCGAACCTGCAGACCTCACGAAATTTTCTGTGCTTGTTGCAGATTTTTGTTTTTGAGTAGATTTAAAAAAAGTCGTTAAAAATCAAAAAACGATTTACAACAAAAATTCATAAGGTCTGTTGGTTCGTTCCGTAGCTCAGGACCCCTATTCAGAACTCTTCCATTTATTTAACCGAATCATTCGATTGGATATGGTTCTCGAATCGAAGGGCGCTTTCCGAGCTATTCAGAACATTCGAGTTAAACGTTTGATTCGGATACGATATCGTTATCCAACAGCGTTTACGGAGTTAGTCGGTGACATAGATTCATTGACTTACAATTATATGGACGTCGGGTCCGCGCTAAAAAGTGTCCGAACTTATAGGGCGTTAAAATCGTATACAGAGCGTCATTCACGCTTTAGTCTCCGTTTGTTCGACTGACAGCGAAGCAAGCAAAATTAGACAGTACTGCGATGACATTACAATTTAAATTCAACGTTTTAGCTTACTCATATTCCTTTACATGTCACTACGTTTAAATAGGTTGACTTGGGACATTTTTTTCGTGGTTTTTGTATTAGACCCGTCGTCCATATAATTGTAAGTCAATACATAGATTATAAGAAAAATCCTTTTATGTATATTTTTAAGACTTCAAAGGCCTAAAATGTAGAAATGCATTAGTCTTGCATTAAACTAAATTAATAAAATTGAACTAAATCCATACTTTATTTAAAATAATAAGAGATTTCTATATTAATTATTGCTTTGTAAACAATAGGACGTTCGGTAACTTTCATTCGATACCTGTGTTCTGAATAAATTTTGTAGCCTTTGTCGGTCGAGAAGTTTGAGTAATCGTACGGGTGTGACATCATTTCGGTTCGGTTTTGAATACGACAGTTTGACGTTCGATTCGGGTGTTGTGAATAAAAATGAATAGAAATCGTACGATATCAAATCGAATCGATCGACAACATAGTTATCGTAAGGTTCGGAATCGACCCCCTATTTCAAATCCAGCCGGATCGACAGAAAAACTTTTTCGACCCAATGGGACTTGAACCCACGACCACACTGCATCGCAGTATTACTCTTACCAACTGAACTACGGGTCAAGTTATCGAGTGTCAAAGTTCTCCTATGTGTTTTTGTTAATGATCTTTGTACTGGAATTTTCGGCATTCTGAACCGCTCGTGTTATCTAGTGAGATATTTTACAACCTTCTTCACCGCTGCCGCAGGGTTCAAGTCCTATCGGGTCAAAAAAGTCTATATTTGTTTTAATAATCATAATAATAACTACAGGAGTTATTTCACAAAAAAATCTCAATAAAACTGTATGGTTTTTCTAAAGTAGACTCTTTGTCACAGAATGGAGACGTACCAGAGTGACCACACTACGCTGTACTGCAAGCCGCACTTCAAACAGCTCTTCGAGCCGAAACCCGTCGACGACGGCGAAGACGAAACCGATGGTATAATAGCTACTCACCTAACACGCAGTCTTTTTTGAAGACGGAGTAAAATAACACTTGAAGGGGTGCCAGTTTTCGAAAAATGTTGAATAGTCATGTAGCTGTTGTCGACAGCTTTATCGATATATTGTAAAAAAGATGTAGTTGTTGTTATAACGTTCTTAAATGATTAAAATTCATTCTTATTTTGACAATAGGCCAACTAATATCGAAATCAATTCGTGAATTGGACGCGGTTAAGCAAAAAGTCCACAAAATTATCAAATAACGAGTTATTACCAAACGGTTCCTAAAGTCTTACTTCTTAGATCAGCAAAAAATCTAACATATAAACATAAATAAATATCTCTGGAGTTACATGACATTATAACTTTTGAAAATAAACCAAGAATGAGAAACACTTTTAAACTTCAAACTGACATATCTCGAAAATGACTGGATGTGCATTGGATCCTTTTTGTTTAACAACGTCCAATTATAGAAGCATGTTTTTATTACAATCAATATTACTGCCATATAATATTATGCCATACTGCTAATTAGTAGAGATGAAACGGATATCCGGTAACTATCCGGCCTTTTTCTAATTTCCGGCCAGATACCGGTTAGTAGAACAATATCCGGCCGGATACCAGATGTTGAGAGATATTTTGTCGTAAAGTCGTTTTCCCTTACGACATTAACAGATTCAGACTTTACTTTGCGGAAGTCCATGTTAATAAAAATGAAAGTAAATTATTGCTACTCTGTGAACCAGCTATTTTGCACGATTTAACCATCTCTGGGTTCGTGGAGTAACAAATTAATTTACTTCCATCCTTACGACATTTCAAATTTCCACATTTTAAATAAAGAGTTGAATATTGCCGCTAAAATCAAATTCGAGCTCAAGAAATCTACCACAATTTGGCTCCAAGGACTAAACTATTCACAAACCGAAAGTTTTGTTATGCCCTAACATTGACTTACAAATAAATGGACGACGGGTCTAATACAAAAACCACGAAAAAAATGTCCCAAGTCAACCTATTTAAACGTAGTGACATGTAAAGGAATATAAAAAAGCTTTTAAATTGTAATGTCATCGCAGTACTGTCTAATTTTGCTTGCTTCGCTGTCAGTCAAACAAACGAAGACTAAAGCGTGAATGACGCTCTGTATACGATTTTAACGCCCTATAAGTTCGGACACTTTTTAGCGCGGACCCGACGTCCATATAATTGTAAGTCAATGTGCCCTAATCTCAAAATCATGCGCTCTAGACATTTACTTGAAAATATTTACAGCTACTATCCAGGGATGCCAAGTCCAGAAGGTTTTTCACACTTGTCAGCCCACACCCACAACCCAACGCCTATCACACACACACACACATACTCTATATACACACATTCTCATAACTTAAGTTAAATATTAGCATATTATTCCCTCAGTTAATTTTTGTTTTGCTCCCTTCAAATGTTTTGCTGTATTATATATATATTAGGAACCCATCGAATTGAGCATCTGTCTCTTGAGATACAGGTTTTACCTAGTTCAAGAGTCAGTGTCGTCATTTGCTACTTCCTGTTCCACTTTCTGTAATAAATTGTGTATTGTTACCATCGATATGTGGTTACGTTGTTGATTGTTAAAAATTGTTTTCAATTTTGTTCCAGCTAAGCCTAAGAAACACCAAATGATCATCTGCGAGAGTAACCCCGTAGAACTGCCCCCCGACGTCGTCAGAGGTAAAAAGCAGTTAAATAAATTCATACTTGATGTAAGCGTTCTGTAACAACTTGGAAGATATGCGTCATTTAATGGAATATGATCGATATGCGGGCTGCCAGGCCCAATATGAATTAAAATGCATTGATCAGGTAGGAGAGGTAAAAGTGACGAGAGTGCTGAAGCTCTACTCCTATACGAGTTCTTGCTTTCTGATGAGATCTTTCATGTGAGTAGTGACAGATAAAGTAGGATATTTCGAACCCTCCTACTTAAAGTGTCATTTGTCAAAATTGTGTTTACAGGCGAGTCTTTTAAAGTTCTGAGTTCACTGCAATGAGCATAACACGTGACTTTTTTTCAGTTTTATTCGGCAAAGCTTGTTACTTTAAAACTCGTTCTCGAATAAAACTGAGAAATGCGACATACGATACTTTACTTTAGGAGGGGTCGATTTATTCATATACATATGTATACATACATTACGAGGCCGACATTAAAAGAAACTAGATTTAAAAAATACGCACCGAGTGAAGCCATCCGTCTGCCATTTCCATCATCAGATCACAGCTCGAATTCTGCTATTTTTTGTTAAACCACTGGCCATTGTAATTTCACTGATACTCCATTGAAAGTATATGCAATTACGAAATTTTTTTTATGATACGTAGTGGACAGGATGAACAAGTTGTATGCCTGGTAGAAAGCGGCACGCCTGTCCACAACACTAACTACATGAAATTAAGTTGAAATGTAATCTTAAGAAGAACTAACTTCTCACTAGTACTTACTTAGTTATACTTATATATCGCACCCCTCATGGAAGAGTGACATAAGTGGAGTTACGTCAATAACGTCTATTGTACCATTAGATACCGAAAAATATAAACCACATCCTCTCCAATTCTTGTAACTCTATCGACTAATACTGAAGATAGAGTTGTAGAAATAGAAACCATTTATTGCAACGCCATAATATAAAAAGGCACAAAAAATACTAATATAAGTAAAAACAGAAATAACACAAAAAACAGCGTAACAACATTTAAATAACAAGTTACATAATACTATATTGACCTGTGTGCAGCTGTGCGGTATGCAAAAGGATCCCATTCAGTCAAAGTAACAACCAAGACTAGGCTGTGACGCTGGTTTTTAATAGGCCCTAGCCGAGTGAGTGACGGACGTATGCGTCCCGAAATAAAAATTATATAAACTACGTAAATACTTATGTCTTATGTGTATATCATGTTATTGCAGTGTGTTTATATCGGATAAATACTTACATAATCTTTGCAATACGTACTGTTATAAGTGTGTGTAGTGTGAAAACAAATTAATAAAATATTTAATACACGTTTACAGTATATTACTCCAAAAATATTAAACAATATTTAACTATTTTTCGTAAAATAAGAGTTCTTAGAACAAAAAGACAAAGATTGGAGAGAATGTGGCTTATATTTTTCTGTATCTAATGGAGCAATAAATATTTTTGACGTAACTCCACTTATGCCATTCTTCTATGAGGAGTGCGATATTAAGAACTGCTTATATCTGTGTAACTGTTTCCAGTTTGGCGCGGGTAAATGACTATTATAATGATGATTTTTATGAATAAATAAATTTAAAAAAATAGTTGCAGTGCCACTCAGAGCTCTAAATCGCAAATGTCTGAGGGGCACTGCCACTGCGCCCGTCATCCTGAGACATAAGCTAACAATACCTATGTGCCTGTAATTTTGCCAGCACCTTCACCCCTAAAACCCGAACGCAGTAATGCTCACATGCATGGCAGCAGAAAAGGTAGCAGTTATATTCCCAGGGCGCCCACACGCGATTTTCGATGTCGCGTATACCAAAATAAACACAAATCATACAGGGAGATTTTTATAATCATTTAAAAAAATAATAGATATCGGTAATATTTTTGCTTGTGTGCAACAATGAATAACACTATCTAAAACTATTATTCACTCTACCAATGCCATCTAGTGGCTAAAAGATTGCATATTTAAGATTTAAGAGTCTATACAACCTCAAATGGCTGTGATTGATTCTGCATAACAGTGAAAGTGTTGAATGAATTGCTTTGGAAATAATCTCAGTACAGAGTACTAAAAAAAACCCACCTCAAAAGTACGTGGAATTACGTCTATTTGCTTAGTTTTATTGAAATATTAAATTTGCTACTATACAGGACTTGACACTGGAGATAATAAAAATCGGTTCTCACTACTCACAGTATATCGATAGAAAAACGCCTTGAATTGGAGAAATAGCAAAATCAACCATTAAAATAATTGCTCCTTAAGTAAAATTTAGGCGCTATTTATAAAAATGAATCTTCATGCGTGAACAGCCACCCTTAGAGGTGGATGATTTTCTTGAAAATGAAATGGGACCACTATAAAAGTACCCCCTTTCCAACAAAAAGAAGTCATGAAACATCGGTTCACAAATACCGGAGTTATCGCGTAACATACATACAAAAAAAACATACAGTCGAATTGAGGACCTCGTCCTTTTTTGAAGTCGGTTAAAAATATATAGTAAAATTGAGGATATACTATTATATTACTATACGGTGTAAAAACACGATTTCTAAAAATTTTCTACATACAAAAAAAACAGAAAGTTACTTCGAAATTTTACGAAAACCGCTGCATTCAAAAGGTACTTTATATATAACAATGTTTTTTTTTATATATCAACTGAACTAAATACAACACGTATATAGTCTAGTACACGAAAAAGTTGTTTTTTATTACAATGCTCCCGACCTTTCAATACATTTAAAATTACTGGTATTAAGTTGCATGAGTTACCAGACAAAACCTCTGTTCTCTATACTTCTCAGGATGTCAGGAAGGAAGGTTGTCGTCGATTACGTCTGTTTATTTTCTCAGCGTCAGACAAGCCGGACCTGGGTCTTGAAGAGCTGTCCCAGCTGGACGTCAAGTCCCGCTTCGAGGTGTTCGAGAAGAAAAACAAGTCGAATAACGAACCACGCACTCCCGAACCACGTGCGCCGAGGGAAAAGAGCACTGCCCTGCTTTCAAAGTTGGCTAAGTAAGTTTGTTTCATTATTATCTAAGTTTGACAGCTGTTTCTATTATATTTTTTGTTCGTCGATTCCACGGAAGAAAAAAATAATGGAGTTCCATAAGCCTCGAATGCTATTAGGACCGATGTCGCCAAAACTTACACATTCTCAATTTGAAATACTATAAAATCTTGATATTGATTGGTCGTAGTTTCAAATTTAAAAAGAAATAACAAATTCTGGATTGTTAATATAATGTAAACTTTACTTACTTACTTTATCGTTGAAAATTCAATACCATCACTTATTATTGCTAGTTACGACGTTTTTATATTATATTGAAATTTCAATCAATATGCTGCCATCTAGCGGTTAACTGCTGAACGACGACGAATTGGAGTTATTAATTTCGTTCTCTAAAAAAGTAGCGACCATATTGTAGGGGTATAATCTTTACTTTCGTTTCGTGTAATAAAAAAATTATTTCAATGAACAGAAAATTGAAAATTTATTTTCTCCAGTTATATGAAATACCACCAGGTGTAATATTTTTGGTGCGGTTATAATGTTTGTGTTGGTGTTCTAGCTCTTGTTCGGTGGACTGTATTGTTCAGGTTCTTGATCTGGATCGCAAATGAAAACTCTTGATTAAAGTGGATTCAATCCGTGTTTATTACCAAAAATGTTCCTACTTAAATACCAATTTCACTCTCTTATCTAGTACAGTGGTTGGCGAGTAGGCGGTCGGCGCGGAGTGCGGGGCGCGGGGAATTCTCTCATCTAGTACAGTGGTTGGCGAGTAGGCGGTCGGCGCGGA